CCGGAAAAGGCTCAGTGAGACTTTCTGGAGTGGATTGCTCTACACCTTGAAAGGGACCTGTATTAACTACATAAGTGCATGCATGTCAAGAGTCATCATTTGGAGACCATTAAGGTGTATTTCACAGCATGTAAGTTTCCCTCCCCCCAAAAACTGGAAACAAATACTAAACTCTAATGATATGCATGCTGAAAGACTTTAATCAAAGAATAAGATAGAATGATGGGTGGAAAGAGATACATATATACGTTAATTTTGTAGAATTTAGGTAGCAGATAGAGGGATTTTCACTGTATAATCTTTTCAACATTTCTGTAAGTTTAAACTTTTCACAAGAAAATACTGGAAAAGTGAGAAGGAAACCGTAATGTGTATCACAGGAAAGAAGGGAGGAGGGTGAGTAGGAAGGAGTGCTTTCTGTTATCAAATACAGCAGAAAAGGGTAGTAAGAAAAATTAAAGCAATTATTAGAAAATGAAAGGTATCAATAACATTTCAATATATTTTTGCAGATAAAGGAAACACAGGATAATAAATTCTTAAAATCTATTTATACGTATGCAGGTCTCCAAAGATCGCTAGAGGGGCAGGTTCAGGGTACCTGCTTTTTTTTAAAGCTTCCCTGATTCCGATGCAGCAAGCGCACATTAGCAGACACTGGTTTAAATGTCTCAATCCAAACTATGGCTTACGTGTGCCAGTTAGGTGTGGGGTGCCCCAGGAACAGCCAATGTTTGAGTGGCGAAATCTCTCAGGTCCTTTAGAAATTAACATTTGTCCATTCAAAAGCAAAAATCAATGCTGATCACTAAGGAAAATACTCGTACTTAGCCTTTCAGTGTCAGGCTGCCTTTTTAAAAATAAAATCAACCTGGTTGAAAGTCTGAGATTTGAAAATTAAGAAACTGAACTTTTCCCAGGCCAGTAATACTTTGAATCAAATTCTTAACACAAGTTTAAACAATTCAAAGCAGACATGATCCCAATTTTGATAGTTAAGAATAAAACATACACAGAATTATCAATGTCTACAATGATACATACCATTCCCTAATTTAACAATTTTTATTCCTTTACTAGATATGCTAGCCATATATTCTCAGGTTATAAGGATACAACATATGAGAACACAACTTATCGATAAAGTGGAGACCGTGACCTTTATTTTTAAACTTTTGTAAGACTGCATTAAATTCATAAATCAGAAAAGAAACACCTTATCATATCATGTATGCATTCCCATTTGCTGACTAACAATACTGGAAAATTAAGTTAGGGTCTGCTTTTGCTAAAATAAATTATTCAATACATTCCCCTCAAAGATCAAAAACAAACATACACTTAACCTTTGAATGACGTGGGGGGCAGGGATCCCAACTCCCACCCCACCCTTGCCCACTGTCGAAAATCCATATACTTTGACTCTCCAAAAGTGTATTTGTCCTTAGGCACCCATGGGGGCGGGGGATGGCGGGAGGTTCCAAGACTCCCTGTGGACACCAGAACCCAGAGATGCTCAGGTCCCTACACAGAATGGTAGAGCTCAGCAGAACCGGCCCCACATTGTGGCTCCTGACTCTCAACCAAGTATCAAAATACTGTTTTTGATCTGCAGTTCGCTGAGTCTGCGGATGCAAAACCCCAGAAATTGAGACGGCTAACCATGTATTTATTGGGGAAAAAAATTGCATATAAATGGATCTATGTAGTTTAAACTTGTTGTTTAAGGGTCAACGGTACTTTTCTATCAACTGTAAAAAGCCCCCCATAAAAGTTAACTTTAAAAGCCTGAAAAGTTTAAAATAATTTAAATCGCAAAGACAAATAAGAACTAACGATGCCCTCATGCAGTCTTTTGAATTATCAGCAGTCTCCATCTTCATGAATCTTACCCACTCTTCCAAAACTCAAATCTCACCTCCAAAAAGCCAACCCTGGCATCTCCAGTGTTACTGTCGTCTCTTAACCTGTTACTGTGTCTTCTTACCTTCAGCAACTCCTTGCAGCTGTCAAGCCCGATATCCACAAGAATGCCTTTCACCTTTTTCCGTACTTTCCTGATGTTGTCAAGATTTTCCACAGGAATTTGAAACATTTTTGAAATTTTCCTTACAAGGGAAGAAAACAAACTATAATAAGAATATATGCATGTATTTTTTTTTTAACAGAGTTGGTAACACACTGACATTAAGTTTCAACAAATGACACTTGGACAATGGAACATCCACACTCGAGACGGAAGTTGCACTCTTACATCACACACAAAAATTAACTCAAAATGGGTCACACGCCTCCATGTAGGAGCTAAAGCTTTAAAACTCTCAGAAAAAAACATAGGTATAAATCCTCATGACCTTAGATTCTTAGATACACCATCAAAAAGCACCAGCAGCAAAAGAAAAACTAGGTAAGTTGGACTTCATAAAAATTGAAAACTTTTGTGCTTCAATGGAAACCACCTAAGAAGTGAAAAGAGAATCTAAATATGGGAGAGAATATTTGCAAATCGTACTTCTGATAAGTAACTTATATCCAGAATATATAAAGAATTTTGATAATTCAATAATTAAAGGACAAATACTCCAACTTAAAATTGGGCAAAAGAGCTGAACAGATAATTCTCCAAAGACGACGTACATTAAGCACATTAAAAGATTCTAAACAACATCAACCATGTGGAAATGCAAATCAAAACCAAAATCAGATACTACTTTACAGCAACAAGGACGGCTATAATTCTTAGAAAAGAACAAGTGTTGACAAGGATGTGGAGGAACTGGACTCTCAGACACGGCCAGGAGTAACGGAACACGGTGCAGCCAGCTGCACAACAGTCTGGCAGTCCCTCCAAAGATTCCGCCCAAGAGAAATTAAAAACGTGCATCTACAGAAAAACTTCTACAGGAAAGTTCATAGCGGCATTTTTCTTAATAGGCAGAAATAACCCAAACTTCCATCAACTGATGAATGCATAAATAAAATGTGGTTTACCCATACAATGGAATATTATTTGGCTCTAAAAAGATGCTATAACGTGGACAACCCTAGGGGAACATTATGCTAGAAGCCAGATACAAAAGATCACATATTGTCATTCCATTTATACAAAGTGTCCAGGACAAATATATGGAGGCAGAAAACAGAACACTGGTTGCCGAGGACTAAGACTGGAGGGTGACAGCTAAGGGGAATCGAGTTTCTTAGGGGAATAATGACAGTGGTGATGGCTGCACAACTCTGCGAATACACTAAGAGCCACTGAATCGCACACTTTAAATAGGCGACTTATATGGTCTGCAAATTACATCTCAATACAGCTGTTTTTATAACATCTGAAAAGGATACAATTAAAATAAACCCTATGCTACTTGACCAGAAAAAAAGGTACAAGTGTGACCTTACTGCTTTCAATACGTACATAAAAACTAGTTGTGTGTGGGTGTAAGCGCGCGCCACTGCTCTGCCCATTGAACAAGGCTCGGAGCAGTGGCACACTCCGGTGGCAGTCAACATGCCCAAGGTCTGAATCTTACTGTCCAAATATCTCTTTTCATTAAAAGGAACCAGGGCCCCTTGGAAAAAGGTCTGATTCTAGGGCTAGAAAAGACAAGATGATTCTAGAACATCTTGTGTCAGAAAATAAGGGAGTTGGTCAAAGAATGATGACACTTGTCAAAAGGACTCAAAAGAAGCCAGTATAAAGAAGTTCCCAAAAGCCAAACATGGGACAACTTGGGTATCAAATAAATGAGACTAACGGATAATGCAACGCTATCTCCCACCCCACGAGCTCTCACAAATATGACTTTGACACTCCTCCAAAATAGTGAGGGCATCTATGTCCCCACCCTTTGAACCTGGGCAGAACCTTGTGGCCACCTCACCCAATAAAGTATGGCAGCAGTAATACCATGTGACTCCCAAGGCTAGACCATAAAAACGCCACGCTTCTGCCTACTCTCTGGGGACCATCACTCTTGAAATCGAGACACCATGTTGTGAGGAAGCTCAACTAGCCCAGTGGAGAGACCATGGAGGTGTCGCCCCACATCAACCCCAGACACTTGTGCAAAGATGGCTCTAAAGCCCATAGCTGTCATATCAGCCCCAGCCTTTGAGTCTTCCCAGAATGGGGCCCCAGACGCTGTGGAATCGAAATGAGTCATCTCCCTACTGCTGCCTGAACTCCTGACCCAAAGAATTATTGAGCTTTTTAAATAAAATGTTTTGGGCTGGTTTGGTATACTGTAATAACAACTAAGCTATATCCCACTAGAATACAAACTTAAGTCATTGGTGATACACTTAAATAAATTGAAAGTCTCATGAAAAATGGGATATTTTCATGGTTTCTAAGCACCTCCCCACAAAATAATAAGGAAAAAGAGTAACTCACAGAAGTCTGGCAGATAAGCTCAAATTAAGACACTGTAAAAAACAACTAGCTTATAACATTCCAAAGTGTCCAGATCTTTAACACTACTCATAATAGCCAAAATGTGGAAACAATCCAAATGTCCACCAAATGGTGAATGGATGAACAAAATGGTATAGCCACACAACAGAATACTATTTGACAATAAAAAGTAACTAGGTACTGATGCATGCTATAATACCAATGAATCTCAAAAACAGTATGTTAAGTGAAAGAAGACAGATCCGAAAAACAAAAGTCCATATATATTCTGATGCCATTTGTATGAAATGATCGGGAAAGACATCTGCAGAGAGAGATTCGTGGTTGGCTGGGCGTGGGAAGAGGTAGTGACTGCAAATGGATACGTTTTTTGGGGGGTGGGAGGGTGCTGGAAACATTCTATTATTTGATTGTGCTGATGGTTGTACAACTTTGTAAATTTACTAAAAATCAATGACTATGCTTTTAAGAAAGATAATGGGAGGAAAAAGTAAAGAACTGTTCCAGAATGAAAGAGACGAGATAACTACGTATAATGTGCAATTCTGAACGGGTCCTTTCACTGTAAATGTTATCGGAACAACTGGCGAAATGCCAGGCTCCAAGGGTGAGAGGGGTGAAGTGCTGGCGTCCGGGGTTGATGGCTGTGTTGTGAGTCCACGGGAGCGTGTTCTTATTTGTAGGAAACAGAATATTTGAAGGTAACGTATCACCTGGTTTGACAGCCTACTTTCAAATGATTCAGCGGAAAAAGTTCTTTGATTGGACCTGCAACTCTATAAATCTGCAACTATTTTTTAAAAAAAAAAGTTTTTTTAATGTGTAAGCTATAAAAGCAACAACAAAATCAGTAAAATTAGAGCTAAAGAAATTCTAAGTAAAATAATAAATGCCAATATTATTAAACAATAAGTTTTAAAGACTAGTAATACCCACTAGGAGTGAAATTTTTTAAAAATTGTAATTTCTACATGTTTAGAGGGCAATTTGGCAGTATCTCCCAAGATTTTAAATGATTTCTGAGTCGGCAATTCCGCGGCTACAGCCCTCTCGTGACTCCTCCTCCCTCAAGGTAACTTCAGGCCCAAGGACCCCCGAGTGGCCATCCCGTCCTTCTCACACTGCGCTCGCCTCACTCTGCTGCAGCTACCTGTGAACATACCTATTTCCTCTACTGGACCAAACTTCAGGGAAGGGATCATGTTTTATTTGCATGTCTGGGTCCTATCACAGAGCATAAGAGAGCAAATGCTCATAGTAAATGAACAAGAGCTGTAAAATAAAACAGGGTAAGAACCATAAGACATACAGAAAGCGCTATGGAGGTTCAAAACGGAATGGCTACGGAGGGTGGCAGAGCTGGAGCCCAAGACATTCCAAGTGACTTGTTCAGCATCAAAACTGATTGAGGTAAAGGAAGAAAAGTTTGAATAATTGGCAAAAGATAAATTAAAACAAGAAAGATAGACTGGCATCTACTTGGCGGGGTGGGGAGGACAGGGAGGATTAGCATGTGTGAGGGAGGAATTTTTGGTGGGTAATGAGGAAACAGTTTTTTAAGAGCTGATTTAGAATTGGCAAGTTTTCAGAAAAATTATCTGTGAAAAGTATGTTAGGCTGAAAAGGAGAGATTAAAGAATCATTTATTACTTTAGAAATGGATAAGAAAATAAATAAAAGTAAAACGCACTGATTTGGGTTTCAGCCTTTAAAAGCATAAATGAACAGAGAAGCTGTCAAGAACCTCATGAAGGGACTCTTAAAAACTAAGCACAAGGTCACTTTCAAGCCCAGACTGCCTTTAGCCAGAGCAAGCTTCAACAAAAATTTCTGAGATGCTTTCCACTATCAGACTTGCTTTCACTTCATTCTGAAAGTCCCACTATCCTCTCTACCCTTTGAGGTGTCTTCTTACTGTCCAAGGCGTCATCCACACATATCGGAAACAAGAAAGCTACACTGATTGCCTGCAAAGAGGAGAGCAGGGTCTGGTGGGTTCTCAGAGCAGCAGTGGAAGCTGCCTTTCCCAGGCTGGTCCCTGACGGCTGCTGCAGACTGGCTGACTCAGGAGAGGGCACACTGTCGGGGACTGGGCGAGCTGTAAACAGACTCTCTAGTTACTTGTTCAAGGCTCAGGAGAGGGGCCAAGGAACTGCCAGTCTTCTCTCCTGAATTTGGAGAACAGGAACTTTTTATTCTCAAACATAAATGCCCCCATTCCATCACCATTTTTACTGTGGTTCCCCCAAAAAACAAACACAGAGTTCTTCTGATTAAAATTTTTTTTAAGTTTCCCCTTTTTCCTTTTTTTCAGTTTGTTGTTTAAGGATAACAAAAAGTGAAATAGGTAAATTACAGAAGTTTCATAACCTTAAAACAATTCTTTCAAGAGCCCTGGTCTATTGTTGCCAATCACTTTGGGGAAAAGCAGCTGAATTTTACCTTAATTTTTCCATTCCAAAATACCAAAACATCCATTCTAAGATGCAAGATTCCATACAAGATGCCCAGTGGCTTAACTATGAAAGCACGGGTTCAGTGTTCTCATATTTATAGACCCTCTATTTGATGCTGTTCTCCATTCATTCTGAGTACTCAGTTAAACCAGTACGTCTGTAATAATGTATAACATCAGGAAACAGCAGGCTATAATACAGCTGCACTACCTATCAACCTCAGTTCCCAGTAAATCACCTTAATTTCATAGTATGTGGTAGACATGGTACTACTAAAAATTCCAACGATGTGTGTAAGAAAATATTTCCCAAAGGGGCACTCAAAGGGTTTCCTTTGTCATTTTTTAGTGTCATGATCATTTAAGAATATTCCACTGTGGGAAAAAATACCCTCAAAAATATAAGTCAATCAGATAATTAATAATACCTTTTAAGCCACATAACTTGTTTTGAGTTCCTGTGAAATCTAAATTCTAAAATGATTTCACCTAAGTGGCAACACAGCCCAAGACTTCACCAGCAAGGATCCTGGAGCAATACTGCTTGGGTTCAAATCAGCTCCGCAATTTATGGGCTGTGCAATATTTGGCAAATGACTTAATCCCTGGGCCTCAGCTGCCTATTTGTGAAACAGGGAGACACAGCCTACTCCCTGAGGCAGTAGTGAAGGTGAGTTAATACAAGAAAAGCACTTACAACATCCGCACTGTGAGTCTGCTTTTTATCTAACTCCAGAAATCTAAGTGAAATGTCACGACCGTTAGAATACTGGAATACAGGGATTTAAAAAAATCGGACTTAAAAAGCACATAATATTTGTGCCATGCATGGAAATAAGATTCAGAAGGTCTGTGTTCAAACACAGGCAGATCTCTTCCTAGACACCTGGCCTTCAGCAACGGCTTTTCGGTTTCCTCATCTGAAACACACTGCCCTAACGGGTGTGACAGCCAGAGTGGAGGGCACTGCAGAACGCTGGGGACTTAGCCCCTCTTAGTGACTACAACCATAAATTCACCAATTGCATGTTGCACACCTGGGTTCAAATTAAAAAGATGTCCCAGGCTCTCTTCAGCTAAACATCTTGCCACATCCCCCATAACCAATCACGGACTCCTAACCTTTTTACCCAGCCCTCACATTCCACCACCTCTCAGTCAGAGGACCGGACCTGTCTCGTCCCCTATTCCGTGGTTCCCTTTCCACAAGTCACTTCCATGCTTAAAGACCAATGGCCCAACGAAGTCCCACTGTAACAGAAAAGTTTGCTCGTTATACGGCCAACTCTCCAGTAGCAACTTTTAAGTTACACTCCATTACTTGACCTCCAACCACAAATGAGCGTGCACTACAAATGCTCCCCCACACCCCTAACACCTACGCAGACTCCAAGCCCTACTTACTTGATAAAACCTGTGTACCCTAATTAAAACGTTTTAGCAGCATTCAGGCAAGTCTCTCACTCAAATGCAAACAAAATACTTAAAGTATTTAAATATTTCCCATTCTACAACTGTGTACTATTTGAACTGGTAGCTATAATTTTTGACATTCCAAAGCCAAATATTTGACATTTTGCAAAGAGAATCTATGCCAGTGCAGTCCGCAATGGCACACGAAAGTTAGATTTCTAACGCCGACAGCTGCACATCAATCATCAGTATTCACATCCGAAGCTCAGGGGTGAAGGAACAGGTATTTGCTATCAGCTGTTCTCCGCAGTCCTTTGCTTCAGGAGGGAAAAGGCCGCCACAGGGCGACTCAGGTGTGACCGTCTCCTCACGGCCCACATCTGCAGTCGCTCACTGAAGGCTGCGCCGGGAAAGGGGCCGGGAAGAACCCGGGCCGCCCGAGCGCGCCCTGCAGGGGGCCCGCCCTGCCCGCTCCCGGCCCTCCCGTGGGCCTGACCCCCCGGCCCCGAACTCCGTCGCTTCTCCCTCGCACCCTCTCCTTCGGCCCCCTTTCCCGAGT